ATATACGACGTTTGGCGAGAAAGATACGTCTTGATAATGTAGAAAAAAAAATGGAAATTAATTAGAAACACGCACGCATTACGTTTAACGTCAGCAGAGTGATTCGTTAAATTACATAGCAGTTTCAGTGCGTGGATGGTATGACGGGCGTATTATTAAAACGGTAGTGGGTATACTGGTCGTGGATGGGAAAAAAATAGGCGTGTGATAGGGTACGAGTATTCTTGAAGGGCAATGTACGTTATCGTATGGGGGGGGGGAGGGGTGCGCGAATAACATAAAAACGCTCGCGATCGTCGGGTAAGTTCTGTACGTGACGTATGTATTCGCGATGAAAATGGTTTAATTTGGCGAGAGACCAATGCGGCGCCATGCGGCAGTGGCCGATATGGCGCGCTCAGCAGCAAGAAGGGAGAAGGCGAACGGCAGGAAAAAACGAAGAAGAGGAAGAGGAGAATGGGTGCGAGGGGGCGGATAGAAAGGAACACGTACGTAAGATAGAGAAAAGCAGAAATACACGCTTGTCATGGTACAGAACAGACTCGAGCTTCTCGAGCTTACGACGGAGCAGGCGCGCACCTCAGGCTCGAGGACAAGCACCAACATCTCTACAAACTCGTAGATATACTCTGGGGTGGGGGGAACGGGAAGAAGGAGATGAAGAAGAAGCGAGTGGTACTTGTACGCAGAAACGACGACGCCGGCCGCGTTGAATTGCTCGCGGCTACCCAAGTCGGCCGGCCGGGATTGTAGGATTGCGCAGTTGATATCATCGAGAGCGATCGTCCTCGAGCCCAATATTATCTTTCCTTCGCAATTGCCTTCCGCGGCCCCGATCCATAGCGCCGAGACCGCGGGGCGCGTTAACTTAATCTTAATTACGTTATTATATTGATGAAACATGATTGCTCCTTTTACTTTCATCGTATACGCTCTTTAAATGTAAAGACAATTAATTAATTAATGATTAACCTTATACTCCGCGTACTCGGCAGTTTCCATTGACTTAAGCCTCAAACGTCAGCGACCGGGCACGACCGAGCGTGCCACGCATACGGTTCGATCAAGTCGATGAAAAGTGCTCGCACATCGTTATCGTGTTACTCGAAATGCACGCTGTCTACGAGGTGGCGCGAGAAAATCTTGCACATCTTCCCCATGAAAGTAGTGACTTAGGATCCGTTCCAACGTGTTCCCGCATTTTATAGTGTGTGTGTGTGTGTGTGTGTGTGCGTGTGCGTGGAGACAATTTCATCTCCTGTTATACCTTTCCGTATCTCTTTCTTTCTTCTTCTTTTTCTCCCTTCGGAGACCGCTTCTCGCGGTGAAGCGAAGAAATGTCAGATTTTTCTTGCGCCACTCCATACGCCTATGTGTGATACATGTTGTATCGAAATTACACCGCTAAAGCGTTGCACGCAGCGACCACATACGTACGGCGAATGCCCGACTTGCGCGCATTCTCGCGCACTTTTCAGCGTCATCGTACGCGCGCTCGCGCGCGCAACACTGTTGTCTCAATTGCGTTCGTACAAAATATCGTCGAACATGTATAAAATTGGCTCTACCCTCTCACCACAAGCAGATTGGATATACTACCGCAGCGTTAGCGAAAAATTCTTAAATGTAAATCCATAATTGAAGTGTTATCTTTGAAAGAAAGTAAAAAATGAGAAAGAAAATCATATAAGTTCGTCATGCATTCGCGTTCACTTACTGTACGCGTAGGCACCTTCGTTGGCATGTTTATCATCGTACGTATACATATATTTATATATATATATATTTATATCCATATTTATATATTTATATTTATTTGTATTTTATACTTCTATAAGCGGATCACGCGTAAGAAGCAGCGGTGAAGCAGAGAAAGGAAGTTATCGGCCAGGCCGCGACACGGATTGCTGGGTAGATTGCTCTGTAATGCGAAGGTAATCGAATCGCGCTTCGGAAATATACACCGGAAAAATGCGAGTCTCGCTTGCGTTTTCTGCATTTCAATTTTTACCTTGCGGGATCAATGCCGCTTGATTTAAGGGAGTGAAATTCCATTTAGTTTGGTGTCGACGGGATCTCGGGGTACGGGGCGATACCCCTAGCAATATCCACGGCAATTAGATCCAATAATTAAAGCGTACACTGAAATTCCGATGGATGTAACATACGCGCGCGCTCTGCCGCTATGTATCCTTTTTCGTTCGATGTCGGGCTATTGTTGTTGCGTTAGCGACCACTAGCCGTTAACAGTGAGTTACACGTGCAGCAAACGTGGACCGATAGACGCGAAACATTCATGAATGGATATTGTCTTGTTCGTGCTGGAAAAACTTTACCGATTTAAAATCTCAAATTTAACCTTGCATACAATTATTTCAATATAAAAGTAAATCAAAGTGTTGAAGTATTATTTTGTTAAAAATGAAATTTTATCACATCTCCGTAATTACTAAGCACGCGACTTTTACGTATATAACTTTTTTTTTTAATGTAAGAATAAATTTGATCTTGTACAGAGAGTATCGTGAACATCCCCGTCACGCGAAATCGGCAAATGTCAAACACCAGAACAATTCCAAGTTTGGTTAACTGTAATGCAAACACTTCAGAATGATTGGAGACTCATTTTGTCTCGCTCGTTCCTTTGTTTGTCTTAACGGGAGTATTTTAATTCTCAAGTTTCGCAATTAATCCGATCTCCCCATGGGTTCGCTTTGTATGCTCTGGTGAAATCGATAAGACACCACTGGTATAGTTAACCGATTGTATTTCTCGATGTAACGTATTATGCCCTCTGATATCTATCTTTTTCTCTATTTTCTTTTTCCTCGGTTCTTTAAAGCAAAATGAAATCTGAATCGCGTGCGCTATGTCTCGTGAAATGTAATCAATTCCAATTATTATGTCAAACAGCATTCCGTTATAAAATACCATAAATTAAGATGTGGATTATTTATTTTTACTATATATATTCTCTCCGCAAAGTTTTTGACATCTTTAATTGTAAAAACTAGCTTTTTGTTTCTTTCTGTTTCTTTACTTCTTGTGGAATATGAATTTGACAAATACTTTTTAGTCATACAGAAAATATTACAATAACTGCTGCAAACTGGATTTTTCTGTGTTTGACGTTATCGACGCGGCTTTGTCCTTTAGAATTGTCTCAAGATGTCCGACGATGAAATTCCCAGATCGATAGAGCGTAATATTTTATTGCTTACATAACCAATACGAAAAAAAGTTCTTTTTATCGTATCAGTTTTATATTGCCTCTTGCAAGTCGAGTACGCCAATTCAGATTGATAAGCTCACGTGTCGCGATGTAAATTAACCTGGCCGCTATGGGATGGCTAAGGATAAGGGACATGACTAAGGTTACGTCGGAAGGGGGTCGAGGTTACGTGATTCTGGTATGGAGAGATAGCTATCCTCGATGTGATCCTGCATTATCTTTCTCTCTCTCTCTCTCTCTCTCTCTCTCTCTCTCTCTCCCCCTCCCCCTTTACTCTCGTAGCTAAATTCAACCCCATCAAGCGTTACCCCCGCAAGCTTAGCTTAACCTCGAGACGCCACAAGAGGCAATTAACCCTGCGCCAACCCCTTTGCGCACGTACCTTTTACCTCTTCACCGAGCTTACCGCGTTCTGGTTCTACCTCTGTTTCTCGTTCCGTCTCAATCCCTTCTCTCTCTTTCATCCCCCTATTTAGTCCACCGCTCTAGCTCCTCGCCGCGCCATAACATTAATATCCTACACGTCTGCATAATCATGTTCAATTCCCAATGCTAATTAGAGTCCATGCCGGTAGCCTAGCTGTAGCGAATACGCGTCAACCTCCATCACCTACAGGAGTCACAGCGTGCAGACGTGTCCCACATCGCGTCACGTCGCCTTGAGAAAAAAAAAGGGACGATAAAAGAGGAAAAGGGCACGGCGGTGGCTGCGGCGTGGCGATGCACGTGATCGCAAGAAACCGACCGAACTCGCGCGCGAAATCGATTACCTCTCTTCGCGGCTGAATTTTTGCAGTCGTTACATTATCAACTACTTACCAACGGAAGTGGTGTTGTGAGACGGCCACTTTTATCCCGGAACAAAGTAAGAAATCGATTTAGCCCTGGCGTGAAGCGTGTGATCCTCGGTATGCGTTTCCGATCAGATACGGATTAAATGTCGACGCGATATTACGAGAGAACTTTCCTTTTCTTTTTTTTTTTTTATTTATCATCCCTTTCAGTCAACTTCTAGAAAACATTTCCTAAGACGGTGTTGATTTTCGGTTAATAGTACACGCATTCATGAAGGTCACTTGAACGTTACGCTAATTAAAGGTTGCTGGTACGGGTCGTAATTGCAACCTTCTTCCACGAAATAAGCGGCCACCCGGGAGACAGAAAGACGAAATTGCTGATACGTACAATTCGTTGCGACCTTGGCGAGAAACGTCGGAGACACTGATATTTGTGCCTTCAATAAGCGACAGATGTAGCAAGTAATCAAGCGCAATTGTGCCTAATTATTCTGTTCAGTAATCCACCGGCATTATTAGCACGTGTGCATATATGAGCGTATAATTAACTTTAACCGGTGAGATAAAGTCAGAAGCAACCTCAATTAAATGATACGGCGAAGTCGATCGGTTTTCTTACGTTGCCAGCTGCGAGGAAATGAAGTTTAGGACGAAAAAGAAGATACGTCTGTGATAATATCTACGGTAATGTGGATACAAGAACATTCGCAGAGATGGGCAGTGATTATTTTTTTTTCTCTTTCTAGTCGTAGCGAACGAACGTCTTTCTATTCTGATGCGTTCAACTCCGCGATCTGCCCATCTAACCGAATCTAATTGGAATTAGTAGAACGCCTCTGCAAAGCTTCCACCCAACTACAAGGTAAGCGTGGATGGTAAAGGGCATGCTCTACTAAAAGCTACGTATATTGGCTGCAACCTCGCAATGCGGTACACTCGTAGAAGTTTGATATAGTATGAAGTAGCGTCCATCCGAATTCCATAGAAAGATTCAAGAGAGAGCCGCGTGAGAGTATTACTTTCGCTGATCGCTTTGAGAATCGTGATACGCGCACGATTCTCTTCGCGGCACGCACCGGTTTGAGAACTCACGTCCATGTGAAGTCAGCCAAAGATTCGTTAATAGCGATTTACGCAGGAAGACGAGATTGACGATATGCCGTGGGAGCTGGTGGGAGAAGTCATTCAGAAACGACGCGCGGAGTATCCGCCATCGTACAATTTACAAAGACTGTCGGTGCGCCCGGGCATGGAATGCATCCCAGGTACGGAAACGGAGACCGATAGAGCCTCCTGGTGTTTCAGCATTTGTCGGCGTCGTTGCCAGGTGAAAGTCCATGCCGCTATGATGGCAATCTGGGCGACGAGGAAGACGGTGCCAGCTACAATCGCCTCACCCAGATTGATGCACATCCCCATCGACGACGATATGTCTTCACTCTCGACGAAGACGGTGTCCCTCGTCGCGGAGGTGACGTTCGGTAACTTACCATCACGCTCGAAGCCAAACTTGTCCGTAATCTGGATGGATTGCACCAGGAGGAGGTCCTCGCGACTCTGGGTGCCAACAGCAGTGGAACGACGGCGGCGTCGACGTCTGCCGAAGGAGATCACCGATCGTAGTTCACCGGTTGTTTCCTCCTGGTCGCACTGCACGGGTTCGCAAGTCGGCATGCACGGAGTGACCAGAGCGCGGAACTGCACCACTTCCGAACTCGGGAACTTGAAGGCGTCAAAGTGCGACAGCAATATCTATGAAACGAAAAGAATAAAAAAAAAAGGTGATAAGTCGTTTGAGAATTTGTAAAAACGAAAGTAGAGATTACTGACGAGAACATCATAAGATATTTATTTGTAAGAGCTAATAAAAATACTTTCTGATGTTATAAATACGAAAAATCAATTTAAGACAGCGGATAATTTAATGTTTCGGATTAATTCAATTAGTTGGAACCTTTTCATCGGCTTGAATATTATTACAGCGTTAACAAGTGCACAAAATTTAAAAAAATGATATTTACAATCTCGCGCTATTTAGTTTAACATAATATTAACACGTTCCAGTCGCGTGATTTATTCTTTACGATGACCCACGCTAGATTTTCCGTTCAGACTGTTTGATATTTGGCTATGGAAAAACGTAATTATAAAATAATTTGATATTATACACTAAAAAATAATGATGTTATAATAGCATTATTTTAATTGAAAATAATTTTGTTAATTCAATCGCACTGTAATGAAACAGATCATTCTCTTATTTTAATAAAATTTTATTTGATTTATTATTACATGTTGTTGATACGTATAAATCACGAGATTATTTTCAATTAAAATAATACTGTTGATACATCACTTTTTCAGTATACATATATACATAATTATAATATATGATGCAATATTGGTTACGTAGATACATCAGGTCTTTTTTTATAATAATATATTTATAATCTTTTTATTATTTTCAAATACATATTATTTGATAAATTTAACAAACACAAGCAAACATATTATGGATCATTGGTGACTATTGGTGACAATAGTGATTAAGTCATTTGTCATAAAATTGACGCGGCACGGAAACAGATTCCATTGATTGCATTCATGTGTGAGAGTGTAAGAGTTTAATTTTCCATAAAATCAAAATTCGATACTCAATGATGATAAGTAAATAAACATCATGATCTTTACTTTTAATTTTCGACACGGCGAGTAAATATAATACATTTCAGCGAAGAGCAGGAAATTCGATACGTGGAATGTAATAAAACGAACTTCCTCGCGTACTCCATCGGTCCCTTTCGACGGATTGCAAGTCACGTAACCAATTGTTTCACGCCGTTACTTGTCGCTCGGATAATACATAAACACCTGTGCCGAATGGCTCCTCGGAACGCAACGATTTCTCTGTTCGGGGCTTTTGTCGAGTTCGCATACCGTTAGCAAACTACAGTGCCAATATTATGACATTTGCGGCGCGTCCTCGTCACCACTTCTCTTTCGTCGCTCTTTATTATCCCGGTAGTTGTATAGAATTTTTGTAGTTTTTTCATTGTTTCAGCAAGAAACAAATTAAAGTACCATCAGGCACCAATGTTAACTGAGAGTGGTGTGTTTGCGGCGGATTCCGAAACGACAGATTTATACTTGACGTTTTTCACAAAGTTAGGAACTACATACCTAACAATAGTAAATGTAATCAGCGCGAGGCAGCTGCGGAACGCGCGCGCGCGTATCTTGCTTTTTTTACGTACTCGTAATTCATACGCGATGTCGTTGCCGTCGACTTAACTAAGCAGTGTCGCATTAATTCTGAAATTCCGACACGGGCGGTCGTTCGCTCATAGAATTCAGTGTGAATGCGGAATAATGGTAATCTTACCCATATGTCGCTCTCACATAAATTTTCAACTATATCCCAAAGTCAGGAACGCGCGTGGGCGCGGCGGCGTGATTTTATTCGCGATCGCGACTTCACGCGAGCAAGAAAAAAAGCTCTTACAGAAGACGGATTACAGAATGCGGATGTCAGAGATCGCGTAACGCAACGGGCACATCGGTCATCACACGCAATATGCGTAAGAGATGATCACTCGAAACTGGTTTTCCACGTCCCGCGGCAGCTGCGTCGAATTTTTTTGCTCTTTATTAGGTAAGGCCATATAACGGCAATTACACGGGATTATGACATGAAAAACAGCCCAAGTACCCGCTTTTACGCGCGCCATTAGAGCACACCTATATATCCATCCTGGTAAATGGTGCGACCAAGCGCATTGCTGATGTAATTCCTATTTTCTCGCGGCAAGCGGACCTATCCGTTAAAATCTTTTTTATTCGTCTACAACCTATCGTTGTTACATTGCTCCGGAATTTTTTCCCGCCACCTTGATATCACAGTGATCGGAATTGGTACAAGAAATTCAAGTCTTTTTTTTCCCCCTCCTTTTCTCTCTCTCTCTCTCTCTTATAGTTTCTTACGAAACGAACATATGATAATCACTCGTGTTCGCTCGTTAGGCTCGTCGTCCGCAGAGTAATCTCGCGATCATCGTTTTACCGAGGAACACCGGCCGTAATATATTCATAGCTACGTCCGCGCACATGGCTCGTCATTGATTTCTCTTCATTCAGATCATTCGCTACATGCTCGCAGGGTCAAATCTCGGCGCGATCTTTCCGAAGCTGAACTTTTCTTGAAACTGAGAAAGGCTGGTATACGCAAGGTTAGCGCCATGCTCATGTGCACGTCGAAAACTGGTTTCTGCGGCGCATTACCAAGTTCATCGTATTTACACACCGAGCACGTATATTATCGGCGGGAAGTAAGACATTAAAATATGCTTCGTTCCACGTACAGCTTCATTTAGCCGTTTCTTTGCCTGCGCGCGTCTAGTGGAACGAGCGGAACTTTATTAACCCAACGTCATCCCGCGCAGAAAGAGTAGCGGAAGGTCCATTCTCCGCGGGGGAAAAGCGAGAGCGATTGCATTCGAAGCGGATGGGAGAAGACGCGTAAGCGGATCGAAGGAAGAAGAGAGGATGAAGAGGAAAGCCCGGGGACGGAGTTTAAGAGGTAGAGAAAGAGAAACAGAGAGAGGTACATACATAGGTGCATGCTGGGAAAAGAAACACAGGCCGTATCCGCGGCATCTGGTACACGCCGACGATAAGTCTCCTTCAGCGGCAACGACGTCGGCGATGGGAAAGAACCGGAAAGAGGAGCCCGTCATAAATGTACCACATCAGATCAGTCAGATCGTAAGGCTTGCCGCCCGCGCTTTTACGGCGTAGCTCAACCTAGCTGATCCCCCTTGTCTACTTTATAAGTCCGCCGCGGGCTCTCCCCTATCCGCCTGGTTCATCCCTACGTATTTAGAGGGGTACATGCTCCCTTACGAGTTTACGTACACGGACGTGGTGGTTGAGAAATGTTTCCAATTTCATTCAAACCGGTTGTGAAATGGAAGAGAGCTTTCGTACTGCGGCCCGGTTACGTGACGGACATACTGGAAAGCCGAACTTTTGGCAAATTTCTGGTTAGAGGAGGCGCAATGCTGCACCGTCACCGACACTGCCGCTCGTTTCTCCCACCGACGATCGTTTCTCTTTCTATCTTGATCTAAGATTAATAAAATCAACGGCGTTGTATACTGGTTGATTTTTGCATTGGTTTTCGCGACGCGTTCGCACGTTCACTTTACGATCGTTCATATTTATGTGACAGACAAATGTTCCTCTCATTATCAGAGGTGCTATTAATGGCGTGAATAAGCTCTCATATACATAAAAGATGACATATACAGGATATATTTTATGCCAACGATATAAACATTCAGTAAATTCATAATTTGCAGATAGAGAACGATTCGCTTCACAAATATTTCGTTAAACAGAATAAGTATACTTTTAAGTTCTACGAACATGTCATAACCTTTTTATATTTGCAAAAATAATTATATATAGGAGAGAATGTCCTAAATCGGACAGTATTCCAAATCGGACCTTTTTAATTTAAATAAATACGGTTAAGCAGATTTGCGTACTATTTATAATGTAAAGTCCTTATAAGACACCGAACATGTGACAGCAGTTTGACAGTACTCCATTAATGACAGATGAGTTTAATGACTATGAATTCCAAATCGGATAAGAAAACGCATTTTTACATTTTCCATTATAGTTCGACACAAGTAATAAGAGATACGTCAAAATGGTCTCAAGCAAAAATAAAGGAAATTAAATGATCTTTCGAACGGCACCATCGGTTTTACGATCGAACTTTATTTACGCCTTATAGAGAACAAAAACTGCAAATAGATCCGATTTAGACCACTCTCTCCTATATATATATAATATACATATACATATTTAATAAAACTAGACTCATTGACACTTTTTTAAGACTTTTTCTTATATACTTTTTTTAGTATCTATTAAATATTTTCCAATATACAAATTCACTTGCTCTGAATTAATATTCTCAGAATATTAATTGTTAGATAATTAATTACTGTACCTAATTGCAAATGTTTTGATCAACTTGAAACTATCGTAAGCACTAGTGTTCCCGGTAATAATTAATTATTAATCGTTTATTAGCTTGTATCTACGTTTATAGAAGGGAAAAGGTTTCAGCCTCCTAAGATTAAGAAAGACAAAGAATTACCAAGCAACTTCCTGCTATCAGTTATATCTCGGGTCAAACGATGCCCCTTCGTTTACCGAGAATCAATGTTGCGAACGTTTATTAGCATATCATAATGACGGTATACTGTCGCAAACGACGAAGATTATTGATAGCTGATAGCGTGGCATATATCAAAGTTGTTGTCAGGCGTTTTATCATTCATGCCAATCGACAGGTAAATAAGGTGCGTACGGATAATATACGGCGCGAACGATTGCGATGAAATCTTCTTCTTGAAGTAACGTTACGACTTCTACAGATTAGAATTTACATACACCCCGCCGTTTTGATTAAACGTGCAAGATGAGAATTGAATAGAGCGAGGAACTTTTCTTATTCTTTGTCCGTTCGACAAAATTCACCAAGAGATCAACAACACTTGAGATCTCTATCTTCGTATCGAGCAGCGTTCGACAGGAAATGGAGTTAGCCCTTCGTGATCAGCCGCGGTCAGGAAACGAGATCAGCCAGCGCGGTGCGCACGTTCTAAACCGGAAAACGGCGCCACGACGCCTGATACAGAAACGACTGTGGGTGATATATCTTGATGCTCGGCATCTTAGGTACGTACGTACCTGATATAAATTTACTCTTTGTTTCTACCACGACTGTTATTACTTTCTAATAAAGCGATATTGCGCCGTACCGCGGCCATGCTCGCGCGAGCAAATGATGTGGAACGACGAGTTAACGAGGCCGTGCGCCTCTTATTGCTCCACCTTCGCTCTAGCACTCGTTTCTACCTGCCACTATCGTAACGATCCGTTTGTTTTACTCGTCGACACGTGAAGCATCAGCCACGCGGTCCACGACCGGGCATCAGCTGGTCGAATGTTTCGCGTCCCGAACACAATGTAGCCAAAGAAAGCCCTCGCGATACTTCCGCGATACTCGCGGTCCCGATACGGAGAGAAAACATAATTGGAAAAGTCCAAGCCAGTTATATCGCCGGTTAGACTAACGTAAGAAAGACTGCTCGAATTATCGGGAAACATTTTTATAGGTTTATTAATGCCCAGCGTGCAGAATCATATTTCTCATTGCGGCGCGCGTCTGACGTTATATCATGCGAGTCATCGTACAAAATGTACGAGCGGTATATGTGTAATTGGTCTATCGAGGTCAATACGTGGCGATCGCCTACCTATTAACCGCGCAAGAATTATTGTACTTCCGCCCTAATGCGTTTTCACTCTAGCTCACCCACGATACTTCACGCATCGCGCGAGAAAGAGTAGAGGATTAAACTATTTTTTCGCGATCTAATGGGATCGCAAAGTCAATTCCCATGTTACCTTATGCGGAAAACGCGGAAGTAATAATCGTGGCTCTACGAGCTCGGTCGTTTTGAACGCAACGGTGTTTCATTATTTAATGATCCGTCTTCATACATTTGAATGAAAGACGTTAGTTCTCAATCATATCTGCAAGTCTTATCTATGTTTTTTCTTGTTTTATTATTTCGAGGCAAACTGTGAGAATTCCTGCGATAACCGTGTTTAATTATTGAATTCACAAAAATTATATATAAAAACTTCAATGCAATGTATCTGACAAACCACGAGTGAAAATCGAATTGTTTAGGATGATGATCGAACGAATTTCGTTTTTAAACTCTTACTCTCGGCATCGGAGATAATCTTACGCTCCCTTATGTGGAACACATGGAAAGTAATGATCGTTGCCAGACCAATGCGCCCGCATGCCAGGCATGTCACGGCACGTCATCGCCAAGACGGCGGCGCATCATCGACGCGACCTATTATAGGCTGGGCAAATTGCTTCCCATCATAAAATCCGTTTGGGTGATTGATTAGCATGAAGTCAGATCAACCGGTCCCTCGTGTCTGCTTCTTTTTCTCACCTTATACTCGCGCGTATTTTGAGGCACGCGCGCCTTCCCACAAAATACACGTCAATAAGTATTAACGTTAAAGGCGATCACCTCGATCTCTGTCCTCTAGGTATCATCGTTAAATTAGAATCGACATTTATCCGTTATACTTTCTATTACTTTCAAAACAGCTATTCGTATATGTAGATACTTTTATAATATTCTTTTTCTAAATATCTCTGTTATTTACTTTGTATCGAATTCGTTTACTCAGCTTATGACTGCAATGCACGAGATGATCAAGCATCTTGCATCGTGTGGCAAGACGTTTTTGTTACATCAATATAGATTAAGAGCAAGGGCTTCCGCGTACAAAGTATAAGCAGTAAAACGTAAGCAGTAATCAAATCAACACTTGTATTTTCTATTCTCGTTATTGCCTTACGTTTTTCTGTATGTCATAGCCCTAACACAAATACCGACTCTACATTCTTTTCTCTGGAAATAAGTTCCCATTACTGTAGCGGTGGGAAATTATTGTTAACGTAAAACTAAAAGGAAAATCATGTAATTATTCATGAGGTAAGAGCTTCCGTTTGTCTACACTACTTATTGTTAGATTTATTTTTTTATTCTTTACAACTTATTTCTTTATAAGTTCAGCATTGGACAACATTTTTATAAAAATGTAGAAATTATATGATACATTAGGACTTACCTTGCCAGTGGTAGCCGATTTGTAAAGTGGTCCCATGATGACGTGATCAGTGGGGCAGCCATCCGAATCAATCAAAACAATCTCACTAGAGTCGACACCATCCATAGCGACTAGCTCGCGAACGAAGATTTCGTACGGACTGTGAGGATCGAGGATCTCGAATTTGAGTGCCAACGGATCACCGACTTCAGCCGACGGGATGGCCTCGTTTCCACTGCGATCGGTAATCTTCATGGCGACATTCGGCGAGTCGACGATCACTTCCTCCGACAGAGCAGGCGTGATGTCGCCGTGTACGCCGAGATCGACTTCGTTCGACACGGTCTTGTTAGTGAGGTCATACTGACAAGTTACAGCCAGTCCAAGATCGGAACTCGTGACAATGGTGTCGTGATGTTGAATGATCACGTCGTTTAAATACCGGCCGAGACCCTGTTGCCTTATGTTACACTCGAGATCATCGTACGCCATGCGAAGTTCAAACTCGAGCGCACCCTTGACGTCTTGCACGCACGAGTTAGGCGAGCCCTTCGCGTACACCTTACCGTAGAAGAGCTTACTGGTCTGAATTCTGGTCACCATATCTCCAGCGCGACAATCGATGGTCACATTGTAACAGGAGCTCAGTTCGTACGTGGCCGCTTCCGGTACATCGAGATACGGTTCCTGAAATTATCGTTTGTTTTCGGGCCGTTATTCATCGCTCCCCATCGTATACTGTTCGATGCATATCGCGCGTTAATGCGATTTGTCGCGGTATTAATTTAAAGGAATTATAGCGGATGGCAGTGATAAATTCCAAAATACGCAAAGCACGGATATTTCGCAATTAAACTTCGCGAAGCTACCCCGCGATTTATTGATCAATCTTCTATTTTGCTCGCTTCACCATGGTTGGGAGATTTTGATAGCTTGCATCGGGCTTACACAAAAACTTCCAGAGAATTTATGACGAGAATTGAACAACGAACGGAAAGTATACAACGAAATTCCACTACAACGTACTGTATATTGAATCTTTAGTGATGTAGTTCGCATAGCAATTATATTATGATATTCGACAACACGTACACCTAGACTAGCAGCGTGTGAAATTCGTAATTTACGCAAAAAAACGGTCACAATCTTTTTTAAATAATTTTTCTCCGTCTATCTAAAAGTAGATCGTTGTGTTATTGAATTGATTTTCATTTCTCTCTGCAATATTCATGAAATATAATATATAATTTTATTTACCGAAATAATTAACCATATTCTTTATTCTCCACATCTAAAACGTCACGTCCCAATTTATTTGATACGACACATCAAAAACCAATAATTATCAATGATACATACATACGACATACACGCGTACATTTTCATTTATATCGAGAATGATAATCCGCTCTGATTCACGCGTTTGTCACTTTCAAAGAATTATTTGAAATCCCTTTATATGGCGGTATTTATCGCTTCTCGTTCAAAGCTCGATGGTCCTCTTCGATGAACAAATTAATCGCGAATATTACGCTGATAAATACTCTTGACGTTTCGCGCTATCTCCACAGTTAATAATTTGTATATTTGTGGAGATGCCGCTGATGTGCTTGCGTAACCACCCATGGAGCTCGTCACGGATCCCACGCACACGATTATCTTCCTATTATACGTATTATTTGCTCATCTCCGAATGAATGATCGTGCATGAAACCCGTATGATCATCCATACTGTGACGTCGAAATGATATTCCGATTCGCTTAACGTTGTTTAAATATTCTACTACAATAATTATCCGTACGAAGAATTGTTTAATGTTCTGGTATTAGTACTTGTCCCCGTATTTGTAGTGGTGTGTAAAAAAGCGCGGATAATCAGACACCCGACGAATTGGTGGTCGCTAAATTTTTCTTTTGATTTTCCCTCGGGATACCGAGTGCGATTCACATTCGGCTGAACTCGAGTGTTACCCGGAAGTTCGATAGGGAAAGCGTCTGCAATGGAAACTCGATTTTCCACGAATACGCCCTCGGCGGATTGTTCAACCTGGTTTGCATGTGTGCGACGTAATCGCATTTATAGAAAATCCCCACTGGCCCTTTCAAGAATCTGCACTGCGATGCGGTGAGCAAAACGACACGGTGGTCGCAAAGCTACACGAGACTCTATTTTAAACACTCCCGATGAATTAAACTGCATACGGCAAGCTCAGCAAGTAAATCGGAACACGAGCAGTGTCCATTTCTCACGTAGCAACAATCTCAATTGCTTCGGGAAATTTAATTCGTAAAAGTTTTTCTCATAAACTTAAATTTGCAATTCCATTTGCGGTCGCGATATTATATTCGTGTGATATTAAAAGTACGAATTTCTATTCGCTCGAATTTTTCTCACCTGAATGTCGGAGAGAGTGGCACGAGAATGATGACTGAGACGGCAGACCATGTCACCGGTGTCACCGTAATCATAAGAGTGGCAACGGAACGGTGAATTCAGACACAATTCGCGACATTCATCGGACGTGCTGACATCTTGGTAGACGGAGTCCACAGTCTTTAATATACGGCCGGTTAGCTTCTTAAATTCGCAAAGTTTCACTGGCTCTTCCACACAGTGGTTTTCCAAATAATCCACACCCTTCGCTGCCTGGAAGGCGTTCGAGCCCGCAACCGTCAGCCTGTCCATGTCCGAAAGTTCACACTGCTTTGTAGCATTGATATAATTAGCGGATCTGAAATTTAAATTAATAAATTATTTCATAACTTACGTAGCTAATCATTAATTAGTTTCTTATCTACAACGATTTCAAATGCAATTTGTATTGCAAGAAACTAACGATTACGTTATTTCGAAGCAATTAAGCATCTTCAGGTATAAACTATCTTCATAAATATGATATGTGTATATTGCCTATAGCCATTAAAGTTTAATGTTAAACGCACGACGTCCGGAAGATTAAACAGCGAAAATATAGTCTTTCATCTCGCGGTAAAAACATACGAAGAGGACGCACGTGCTATCGGTTGTCCCTCGGTCATCATCTCGCGCTGATCCCGGAAAGCAAGTTATAAAGGAAACGTCCATGCACGAACGAATCTGAGCCGCGGGTTTTGTTTCTAGCGGAGACACGCGGCTACACAAAATCCGCGTCCGTCGGAGGAATAATTGCTTCCTCCTGCAGCGTTTTACTGCATCGTAGTAATGCGTGGTTAATAATACTAAACGGAGCTGAGCGAGGATTACAATTAAGAAAACGTTAATTTACTAATGCTAACCCTTGAGAGGGAGTGTCATATTCTCGGTCCATTCTCATTTCTCTCTTCTACGCCTACTGCATGCTGCACCGGAGGGATATCGAATGCCCGGCGTGTCGAAACGGAAGATACGGAAGATAATAACTCTCCCAACGTTTTATGAAATTTTATCTTAACGCTGCACACGATCTAACGGCTTAAATAGCAGCTCCCGACAAATCGTACGTCTACTCATCCATAATTATGGACATCTGGATGATGGAGTGACGTTTACATTAACGTTTCAAGCGCTATATAAACGGTACGCGATACATTCACGTCCATGATCGATTGGCACTTGAATCTGTGAAATTCCTATTTAATTGAATTACACGAATTGGTTAACGTTCTCTGATAATTTATCTTGATTAGACTACACTCCATAGCAAAATGATTCCCGAAACGTAAAAGTTCATGTCCAAAAGAAACGCATTTATGAATAAATTCTTTCGGCGAATAACGTGAACTTATTTATCAGTTTTGAAAATCGGGAGAAGTTCTGGACATTTGATAGAAGATCTAAATCATGAAATAGCAGAATTACATTCGTGGTCAAAAATATTTATCTCGAAACCTGCGTTGCGTATGTATGCGCTGATAACAGACACCATACAATATTGTCCTGTAAATATTTGTTTTCGACTTCGTAGATATCAGTAGAAACTGATAGTATTTTATTGCCTACGGTACGCAGAGTTCAGTCAACAGAATATTTTATCATATATTTTTATTGATTTTTTTCCTCTATATTCATCATATCACGATTTTTCTTGTGTTCACAGTAGTCAGTAGAGCTCGGTCGTAATAACGGGACATTTCATACGGATGGTTGATTTATGACTTATGACTTTAAGAACGCAACATCTTACGCGTACCTAACGTAACTTAATATTAGCCTAACTGTTATAAAATACGACTCTGTGCTTGTCATGTAATGTCCAGAAGTTAAATCACAAAGAATTATACAATGATTAGAATAAGCCTATAAGCTTATAATTTAATTTTAATGAAATAAGTCATTACTTTTTCGAACAACAAGTTTCGAATCTCATGACTAATTACATTCCTGTTTTCCTAAACCTATAATTTTGCAAATTGATGGAGTAGCGTGAAGATATAAGGTAAAGGCGTATTGAATGCAGCGTCCATTATAACATATGCGGTCGCATTCTCGCCGGAACCGCAATTTCCTTCGTTTATTCGCGTCTGCTCGACGGTAACACATACGAATGCATGTTCGACATACTTTCATAACGAGAATCCGGATAAAATTCGAGCTGATTTTTTGTATCTAGCCGCTCTATAATCCAGAATTAGATATTCCCCACGTGGAACATTCTCCAAATAATCCGAGACAGTTTCCGACTTGGACGAGACATCGAAGTCATTATCGTCCTTTTCTCCTTCTGGAAGAAAGGACTGGAAAAAACTAAACGCAGGCGAAAAAGCAGTCAGGAGTTTTCGCCGATGTGCTCAGGTGCACGACCGGTATCATCATCGAACCGAAGTTTGTCCACGGACTGCCATCCGGACTGGTATAGAGAGAGGACGAAAACTGTTCCCACAGCTCCCGAGAGCTCCCGATGGAGCGTCGTTAGAGAAAGAGAGAGAGAGACCGCCAAATTTATTCCACGTCGCTCCATCGATTTCGGATTATATTGCCTTAAGACCTGAATAATATTCATGGGTGCCACGTTATGATTTCAATATTCCCCGGGGGTTCCGCCGGGCGGAGACGAAGTCGAAAAATCACCGCGGCCTTATGCGGTCGGGCGCGATAAACCCCGAGGCTCGGTCGAGAATATAATCGAATTGGCGGCGCCTGTCTGCAGCTTCCACGATTATCGATGTGTCCTTCGTCCTTACGTATTCCATTCCTCCGCGTATCTTTGCTATATTGTAAATCCGATCACCATCGAAGGTGCGAATATGAGCGTTACTCGCCACAATACCGCGACAATATACACAGTAAAATCGACGATGCAAAATGAATGGGTTATGAAAAAATGTGTTGGCTAGCATTTGTTTCACAGCGTTGGTGCATCAAATATATGTACATGTGTATGAATGTTTGCTCGTTAAATCAACAAGTTTCGGTTCAATTGTTCGTGATTCAAACACAATAATTGTCGGATGGCGCCACACCCCTCTCCATCCTTCGTCACCTTGCTGGTGCAATACGTTGTTTATTATTCATTTTACATGCAAATTCATTATATAATCACTTTTATTGCAAAATTATTTTTAATCCATTCACTGATTGCACCTCGTTGATTATATACGCGTTCGAAAGTTTGTCTGCACTCTGCTGATGAAGATATCGAATCACGCCACGTTGGAAACAGCGTCTCATTATCGTTGGCGCGCAAAAACTATTAAGAAAGGCTCGCTTCAAAGCTCATTGCCGCAATGCTGTAAGAAAGGTCGCAGTGAGTTGGAAATATACTAGATATTATAAAAACAACGTTGAAATCGTAGCTAACGAGTTGCAGTAAGTTGTAACGAACACGGTAGTGTCGCTAACGATGATGGAGTATGCCAATCATTCTTGCAAAACTAAAAGCCACAATATACCACGCAGTTTTTCAAGTGTATTTTGTAAAGTTTATCTTGTGCTATTAATTACAGAAGTTATTATGATAAAGAAAACGATAATTATTTAAAAATCCAATAATTATGCAATCCAATAATTATTTTGAATTGTTCCAACATAAAAATAATTACGATGAAAGATTTAAATTTTTATACCATTTTATAATGGACACGTTGTACTACGAAATATGTCTGTCCGTTTTGCGAACAAGTGACATTTCAACGATCATATTACGTTACGTTTATAGAGCAACAAAATTTATTGTCTGCAATGAATAATGTACCGTAGAATGGAGAGAGAGAGAGAATTACATATTTAAAGCCAATTCACTTTTTCCTTATGGATTACGATAAAAGTGAAAGCAAGTTGTGTTATTTGTGAAAATTTACTCATGGAGTATCTCGGTTCACCACGCATCGATTCTGTAATTTTATGGAAGATACTTTTAGAGTGGCTATACTTATAATGTAGCCAAAGAGGAACCTTCTCGTTTCGTAAAACATCTTGTCCACCGTATATCGTCAAGCTAACTTCTTGGGTGGCATTATCGTCAAGAGCCCTCTACTTAGAGAGAAACACGAGGAGATACGGCCACTAAAGTCTGGACCCCTCAAAGTTTAGTTTGGATAGGCGAGCCGGTATCTCCCGTGGTAAATAATTAATGGACAAAAGGGTAAAAGCACGTTATCATGGCACGATCTATCTCATCGCATCTATCGTTTGTCTGGCCAATTTAAGGATTATTGGTTTTTCTTAGCAAGAATTTAATTAAACCTTTTCTCACCATTTCTATATTAACTGATTATTATATTTCTATATAAACTGACTCCGAGATTAAAATATTCATTCGAAATTAAATGAAGATGTTATTTATGATTTAATTCTCTCTCACACAGACACGAAGGAACTTCTAAATCTCAATAATTTCTGAATAAAAAAACAATTGGTGCTTGAAAATTTCTGTTAAAAGAAAGAAATATTCTTAGGCGAGAATATATTATAAGGAACCTAGAGTATTCGACATGCCTTTCTCTGTTTCATGACTGGAATTTCCTGTTACCTGCGACAGAGCAAGCCGGCTGAAAATTTGGCATCGCGACATGAGACAAGGAAAGATATGAGAGCAAGCTGAAAGTCTATCGCGCAACGATAAAGCCTTTTCCGATTTTCTTTCCTCGATTCAGGACAAAAGATATCCAGCGCCCGTCTCGTACAACTTAGAGTAAACCTCGAGGGAAATTTTAACCTTCCAGGCAGATGTTAAATGCGAAGTTAACTGCGACGGGACGACATTCCGTCCGTCTCTTTTCTCTTCGACTCGCTCCGTTTTTCCTGTACCTGACACTCTCTCTTCCTGTCTCCGTATTGTCGGTCTATCGTAATTCTCTTTCCGCACTTCCACGCCGTACTATTCCGAACAAATGGCGAGACAAAAAAGACAGGCTGGATCAAACCAGTACGAAAGGGACGAAGACGAAAAGGGTGAGCGCGTCGTTGGTGATGGTGGAAAAGAATTACAAGCGATTCGCCCCGTTGCATTTCGATGAATCTCAAATTATTCTTCGTCCGCGCGTCTGTCGTGGGGCGAACCTCAGTTGCGAAGATAACCGAAGAGGGAATCCCTGAAGAGAACGAGAGGGGGAGCAGTACATATGTATACATACCCCCTATATTGAAAGACGTCAATCCTAAAAACAATTTCTGCCTTTTGCGAGAAGAATCGAAGCTTTTCGCCCGACTGATACGAGTGCAAATGCTGTTTTTTTTAACTCATCGAATGAACATCGACTGACAAAGAACTACGCTGAAGGTATTTTGATTGCATCGTTAATGTCGATCTACTGG